CCTCTCTCTCTTCCTCTCTCTCTCTTCCTTTTTCTTCCTCTCTCTCCCTCCCTCTGTCCCCCCCAAACCTTCTCTCATCTCTCCCTCTTGGATCCTTCTGTAAAGGTCACCTTGTTCATGTTGCTCTGAAGGAGACAGAAGTTTCTCCCTTGTCTTTTCGCCCACATGCTTTACCACTAGTTACTGCCAAGTAGGAACCACCTTTGACCCCTAATATAGTCAGACTCATTCTGGGGGAGAGGTCTTCTCTGAATTTGAAAACTCTTTTTAAGGTGTTTGAACTATATTGGTTTGATGGATGGATGCATCTTGGTATCCCAAGGAAAGATCTGGAATCCTGCAAACCTGGATTCAGATCTCAGCCCTGCCTGGTATTAGCCATTTGACTTTCAGCAAATTATTTATCTCAGCGGTTCCCTCATCATCTAGTTGTCAGCAACAATAAGCACAATAATAACAGTTGCTAAAATTTATGGAGCGCTTGTGCTGTTCTAGGCACCAGGCTATGCCCCTGATATAAGTATTGTCAGCTGCTCATTCATCTCACAAATGAGAAAATGGAGGCTCTCAGATGTTAGGTGACCTGCTCACAGCCATGGGGCATGATTAGAGAGTCAAACTTCGTCTGTAAGACTCCAGAGCCCCCTGTGGTCTTAACCTCCTTAATCTCCTTCTCAGGGTATCTGTCTCATAGGGTTAGTGACATCATACATATACATTAGTTAACACCGTGCCTGGCACATAGTAAGTGCTCAGGAAAAGCTAATTATGACTATTATTACTATTAACTCAAAGTACGCCAACAAAATGCTGTATATTTGGATTCTGATGTAATAAACCGAGAAGAATAAATTATAATATGGCATTGTTCAGATGTCCCTGCCACTTCTGAAGTGTCTGGGCTTTTGAAGACATCTCACATCATGTTTACACTGAGCTGTGGGACTTAAATCGCAGCCTACCACTATAAAAAATAAAAATTTCCTCAGGTAGTTAGCAGAATTGAGTAGAAAGAACACACCCAGGCTTTGGAGGCAGAAACTCCTGGCTAGCAGTGGTTCCAGAGGAACCTCCCTGGTGTCCCTCCCTCAGTTTCGTTATCTACAAAATGAAGTTAATCTATAAATTGGAGCTGCTGTAATAATTAAACAACATCTGTGAGTGTCTTAGTTCAGGCTGCTGTAACACAATACCATATACTGGGTGGCTTAAACAAAACAATACACATTTATTTCTCCCAATTATGGGGGCTGGGAAGCCCAAGGTCAAGGTGCTGGCCACTTCAGTTCCTGGGGCGAACGCTTTTCCTGGTTTGCAGATGGCTATCTTCTCTATATACCTTCACATGGTGGAGAGCAGAGAGAGAGGGAGAGAGGATCTCTCATGTGCATCTTTTTATAAGGTAGTATGTGAGGGCTCCACCCTTATGACCTAATTACCTCCCAGAGACCTCCACTTCCAAATCCTTACACTGAAAATTAAGGCTTCAACATCTGAATTTTGGTGGGGGGAGGACACACAAATATTCAGTCCATAGCAGTGACACACAGGACAGTGTCTCACACACAGAAGGTGCTCAGCAGTGTGAACCTGCATCCTTATCTTTTGCCACATTCAGGGATTGACGAGCCCCGAGAGAGTCAGACCATAAGCTTTTGCCAGCAGCCTGGTGCACAAGGCCCTATCTCCACACAGGCATCCATCTTGCTGGTCCAGCCTCTCTTCCCTCCCTGAACCCTCCAGAAACATTTGTTCAGACTCCAGTGGACTCTTGGCCTTCCTGTTCCTCCTCTTTAAAGTTCTTGCTGTGAGTGTGGAAAGCACACCCGTCTCACACAGGGTCTTTTCTCTCCCTGCAACTCACAGTCCTGATGTGAGGCTTCTGCTCCATCTTCTACTGGCCCACCTCCTTCAGACAGGGCCTGTCTCCTCAACACTGCCAGCAAGAGGGCAGCCTCCACCCAGCGTCCTTACCTTTAAGATTTTGATGAAATGGGAGAAAAAAATTGACCTATTTCAAAGCAGGAGTCTTGTGTTCTAGTCTCATTTCTGCCACCAACTCACTAAGACATTGAACCCTCTGGGTCTCAGTTTTCCCATACGTCACATAAGCCACGAAGGATTTTGTTTATATGGCTGCATTAGCACGTGACCATACATGAGTGGCGAAGGGCAGGAATGATACTCCACCTGTTAAATGGTTTTGGATAGTTGCTGTGTGCCACGCACAGTGCTGAGCATTGAAAGACAAAGATAAGTAAAAGGCAGCCATTGCCCTCAAGGAGATCAAAATAGAGTGTGGCTAAGTTAGCAACAACAATAGAAATAATAAGAACAGTCAGTGTTTGTTCAGCACTTCCTATTTGCTAACGCTTGTTTCGAATCCTCCCTATAACTGCATGAGGAAGCACCCGTTTTGCAGGGGAGCACCTGAGGCCTAAAGAAGTTAAGAAACTCACCCAAGATTGCAGAGCTCATAGGCCATGGAATGGGATTTGAACTCAGGCAGTCTGATTGCAGAGCCCACGCCTTTCACCACAAAATTTTGGAGTCAAACTTGAGTTGGAATCCAGACTCTAATTTCTTTATTTAAATACTTCTCCCTGGGGTTTAATCCTCAGGACACACAGGCCCATGGAGACCAGAGAGGAAAACCAAAGAACATCTACAATCGCAACTAAATATTTCTTAGAATGGGAGAAGGTAGGAAGAAAAGGTGAATCGCATGTGATCTGAGCTTCTTAGTGTTAAAGGAAACTTAGACAGATTTCCAGACGGAAGAGAAAGATACCACCTTCCCGGAAAGCAAACACACATGGGCTCTGGAATCAGACAGATGTGGGTGCAGGTCTCAGCTGCCACTTACAAGCTGTGTGGCCTTGGACAAGTCACTGTATCTTCCTGAGCCATAATAAAGGGCATGCAGG